TGGCGCAGCGCGGGGAGCCGGGCCGGGCCTCGGGCAGCAAATGGCTTTTGCACAGCGGGCCTCACACGGGGCGCGGGACTGCCCGGCTCCGCTGTTCCCTCGGGCCCCGCGGCCGGGGGCCGGGCGCCTCGTAGGGGCGGGAGGCGGCGGCCGCGGGGCCGGGAACCATTTTGGGAGGGAGGCGGAGGAGGTGCCCGGCGGCGCGGACGCTGCTGGCTGCGTGATTCGGGACCCGGCCCGGCTGCCGGGGGAGGCCTCGTGTTTTTGTTTCTATGGGGAGACGCGATGAGCTGTTTCCCTCCTCATGACGGGGAAATCCGCCTTCAGCTTTCTGTACCCGTGGAAGGGCGTCCTCTCCGCGTGTCTGCCTGGAAGTAAAGCCGGCAAGAGGAAAGGTAGCAGCGAGCTGCGCGGCGGGACGTGGAGCCGGGGCAGCCCCAGGCTGCTTCCCGGCCGGCTCCTCGCCCGCTCGCTCCCGCTCTCTTCAGTTCTTTAACTGCTTTACGGAGCGTTGTTTTTCTTGCTACATGTTTACAAGGTTGTTTGGGCAGATGTGAGCTCTTCTGAGACCACCTACATAGCTGGAAAAAATTGTTCTTCGCCAGCTTGGGGCACAAACACCCTTTGGGCGCAGGGCGAGTCTGCTACAGCCAACACCCCTGGCATTTGTACAACTCATTTCTTCCCTTTATTTGCCCCCGCTGCTGTTAGTTCCACTTGAAAGTGTTTTGAGTTATGTAGTTTGCTCGGTAGAAACTACGCAAAATATTTTTGGTGATGACTCAGTACCTCGGTTTGTCGGTGTTGCTTAGAGACTAATTCCCCCGCCCCCAGTGAGTGGAGACTCCTGTGGTATCTCATGCACGGGACAAACCAAAATAGCAATTACGTTTTTTCTTTTCACCTGATCCCGATTTGCTGTGCAGCTTAATTTATATCCAGCCTTGTGTAACTGCAACAGTTGTTTGCATTTGTTTTTATTTTTCTGCACAACTTCTGGCTGCTTTTCCAGTTGTATTTAACTGTTTACTTCAATCTAGACAAAAATATAGTTGGTTAGCAGAAATGTTAGTGCTAACTAACGGGCTTTAAAGATTTAAACTTGGGAAAACAAACTTGAACTTCTTGCTCTGTTCATTGTTTTGTGTAACTTTTCAGCTTTTTGTAATGGGAATGGAGGTCAGACTAGTAGGGCTTGCAGTTTGGACAGCACGGTGGCTAATTAGTGGCCCGTCAGGCTTTCTTGAATTGGAAGCGGTTGGCTTGAGTAGTTCCCCTCGAACAAATGTGGTTCTAGGTTGCCTGTTTAAAACAGCGCGATAGTTTAGTCATCTGTGCCAGCATTTCTCAACCCGTGGGTCATGATGCAAAAATGGGTTGCAAGACTATATGAAAGGACTGTGAACAAACTTTAAAAAATGGATTATCCTTTAAAGGAGAAAAATGTGAGAAAATATGGGTTTTCCCTTCCAGCCTGCCAGGGGCTGCTTGGGGCTCCCCTGCCCCATACTTGGGGGCTGGGGCCACTGGGTTGGGACTGTCTATACATGTTTACAAATGGGTCCTGGTACAAAAGGTTGAGAACCAGTCTATGTAACTTTGACTTCTGTTCAGTTTTATGAACTCTGTTTGTGATATGCAGGATTTGTTTTCTTTTATGTTGAGAGAGTTTGAACGGGCTGTATATCCTGTTTGTGACTGTATACTAAGGCCTAAGAAAGGAAAGGCTATTTTTTTCTCACCTTGTATATAGCTGAGGAAGGAAGGAAGAGTTGCTAGATGGTTTCCAAGGAGGATTCACTTGCTAACAACTACCATTTACTGCTCATTTGCTCTCCTTTCACCCCCACCCGGAGAAACTATGGCAGTGTGAGAGCTCAGCATGTTTGAGGTGTGTAGGATTTCTCCCTGGGGCTCATGACTAAGATTTGGTTTGTGAGTAATATTGATTCTTTGTGCATGGGGCTGATAAAAGGTGACAAGTTGTTGCAGGGGGACAAGGAGTTGTCACCTAGCCTGAGTGGTAGCAGATCTCAGGCACATGCAGCTCTTAAGAATAGTGGGAAGCAGAGACCTGCAACTCTTACAAGACTTCAGCATATGAGTGCGTGCAGGTTTCTTTTACAAAGCCTTTGTGTTTTTCAGCTGTCCAAAGTGGATTTTGGAGGGAATGGATCAAAGCAACTGGGAGGCTTCGGGTGGGGGGGGTGGGGGGAGGTTGATGGGTGCTGATTCCAGGGCCAAGATATTGGACTGTGGGCCTGCTTCCAAGAAAAGTGATAAACCTGAAATCTTCATCTGAAGAGTCTTAGTGACAGGCCAGAAGCAGTGATGAGTTGCTCCATACCAGCAAAGGCTTGGCTACTCAAAAGCATTTAGAGGTACTGGATTCTCTTGCAGTGAATTGATCTCCATTTAGAGAAAGGAGGCCAAGGTCAGGTTGAGAGAGAGAGAGCTTTAATTTCCCTCTCTTTAAGTGCCTCAGTGGGAAAATCAATCCAAATATGTAAGTCTTATGGCTAGCTAATAATAATAATATCAACTTAGAGCCCCAGAGGTCCACTACTGAGGGCCCCATAATGGTAGTTTTGAACCACTGAGAGACCCATAAAATGGTAAGGATTGTTCAGTGCTTCAGCATGTCAGTACAGTACACATCAAGACCCTGGTTAGTGTCAACCCAAGAAAAATCAAACCCTAAGCACTTGGGGTGGAACTAGGGCTGTGGGAGCTGTGTATGTGAATCAGATAAGGTGCATGGGTAACAAGGAAGTGGTTCTTAGATGAGACATTTTCCAAGCTCTGGCTTTGGCAGAGATGAAGCCCAGGCAATGACTCTGGCTATCTTGGGGACTTGTTTCCTTGCCTTGTTCTGTCTTCATGGTGTGCAGGTATCAAAGGTAGATACTTGAACATGTGCAGTCCAGACCTCAGTTATGTTGGAGCTGAGTGGGCTTGTGATAACAATGCTTTGCTTCTAGGTTTCTGTAGACTTCTCTTGCTATGAAAAGGAGAACAAGAATCAAATTGAAAGGTTAGAGAGCTGACATATGCTGAGTGTTTACCATGAAATGGGCATTAGTGTTAGATGGTCATTCACTCTCCTTCCCTTACCTGGTGAGGTACAAGGAACTAGGCTGTCATAGGTTTTTTTTGTTCTGTTTTGTTTTTCCCACTGTAGTGTTGATTTCATCTATATGAATGCGCACATTTGATGAAGCTGAAGTGTACTTCTCTTTGCAGGGATGTATTTGGTAGCTGTGTTGGTCTGAGACAAAAAGAAACAACTCTAAAAATCTTGGTTCAGAGATACTTTTTATTAGACCAACTAAAAAAATCGCAAAACCAAATGATCTTTCTTTGCTCTCGTTTGTCTTTTCATTGCATGCCTTTTTATGTTCCCCGGTGTAGATATTGTTGAGTCTCTGAAAATAAGTACTAGAAACTTAGTTGAATACCTTTTAAAAAAAAAAAAAAAGTTTGAATCAAATGTTAATGCTAAACCCTAACAGGAAAAATTTAAAATTGGATTGGATGTTTTTTTTTTTCTGATATATTAATAAGCATTTGTCTCATTGTTCAAGGGACTTCCTGGTTTTCTACCTAAAAGATTTCTTCTGTATATGTTAGGAATCCTGGCTTGTTTGGTTTTGTGTTTTTTGGGTGGTTTTGAACATTTTCAAGGTAGTCTTTTAATATAGCTAGACTGGGTAAATGCCTTTCCACTGAGGTTGCATCAAAGTGACAAGTTTCACTTAACAAAAGTAAATTTCATAAGCAGCACTTTTGAAGTTATTAGAAATATTTCCGCACCTACCTGAACAAAGAATAGAATTAGTAGTTTTCCTTTTTGACTACTTCTGCAAATAAGGTAAAAAAACATTTTCCCCCCCATTCCACTTTCTGAATGACTTCAGTGTGTTTTCAGCTTGCTGAAATACAGAACCCAGGAAGACCAGGGAATTTTGAGATGGATGGGAACCAAAGGAAGGCCTAGACCAGTGGTTCTCAACCTTTTTAAACTCCAGGTGGTCCTCAATATGAGCGCCACTCAATTCACTTGTGAATTGAGTGGCACCCGGTATCAAAAACAAATGTGCTTCTCTCCTTGTGGGAGGGGTGCAGCTGGGAGGAGGAGTGACTGGGTAGGAATGAGTCCTTGTACTTTGCAGCACCTTTCAGAGGCTCTCAAGAGATCTCTTCAGCTTTTTTCTACCAAATTGAGAAACAAAAGCACTGACAGAAGGTTTGGATATTGAGTTTAACTTGAACTATTTGTCATGAAAAAGTAATAATATCAAATCTATGATGTGTCTGACAATACAGCCTTCCTGGTGGTGGTGTTAGGAAATCAATTAATAAAGACCTGTTACCAAAGGTGCAGTACAAATACAAAACTTAAAAAACTTTTGGGCCTTTTTTTCAGAGTGCCTGTACTCTGATAACATTTCTTCTTCTTCCTCCTCCTCCCTCCCCCCCTCCAACAAATGACTTTTCATTTTCAATCTAGAAACTTTAATAGAACTTCTGATCTACTTTTCACATTTTAAAGGGCTGGCTGCAGTACGAATTCTCACTCCTTTCCATTTACAGATTATAGATAATATTCCTTAAAATGGAAACAGATTACGTTTGCTGCAAATAAAAATTGATTTTGAAACGCACCTGAGTTTGCTATAAACAAAATTCTCTCTTGAATCCTCATAGGGAAGACTTAGAATGTGTCAGTTCACCTGTTTCAGAATAACTACTGAATACTGTTTTTTCCCTTTATTACAGAAATGAGCCGTCAGACTGCTACAGCACTCCCGACAGGTACTTCAAAGTGTACGCCATCACAGAGGGTGCCTGCATTAACTGGCACTACAGCTTCCAACAATGACTTGGCTAGTCTTTTTGAGTGTCCTGTGTGTTTTGACTATGTGCTGCCACCTATTCTTCAGTGTCAGAGTGGCCATCTTGTTTGTAGCAACTGTCGACCCAAGCTCACATGCTGTCCGACTTGCCGAGGCCCACTGGGCTCCATTCGCAACTTGGCTATGGAAAAAGTTGCCAACTCTGTACTCTTCCCATGTAAATATGCCTCTTCAGGATGTGAGATAACCTTGCCCCACACAGAAAAAGCAGACCATGAGGAGCTGTGTGAGTTTAGGCCTTATTCATGTCCATGTCCTGGTGCTTCATGTAAATGGCAAGGTTCTCTGGATGCTGTAATGCCACATCTAATGCATCAACATAAGTCAATAACAACATTACAGGGAGAAGATATAGTTTTCCTTGCTACAGACATTAATCTGCCTGGTGCTGTCGACTGGGTTATGATGCAGTCTTGTTTTGGCTTTCATTTCATGTTAGTGCTGGAGAAACAGGAAAAATATGATGGTCACCAGCAGTTCTTTGCAATTGTACAGCTGATAGGAACACGCAAGCAAGCAGAAAATTTTGCTTATCGACTTGAGCTTAACGGTCATAGGCGGCGATTGACTTGGGAAGCAACTCCTCGCTCTATTCATGAGGGAATTGCAACAGCCATTATGAACAGTGACTGTCTAGTCTTTGACACCAGCATTGCACAGCTTTTTGCAGAAAATGGCAATTTAGGCATCAATGTAACTATATCAATGTGTTGAAATGGCAATCAGGCATTTCCAGGCCAGTGTTTTAAAACCATTGCATTTAATTTTTGCAGAACCTAGGGTAACCATCTGACTGCCAGACAAATTATTTGGTAGATGGAGGCTAGACATACATGAAGGTAATAAGAGGAAAGGCTGTAAAATTACAGGAAGCAGTTGCATGTAGTAACACTAATATATTTAAAATAAGTCAACAGTAAACCACTGAAATATATATACACCCAAAATGGGCATCTTTTGTATTAAGAATTGATTCTACAGGAAATGTTGTAAAATAATTCTAAAAACTTGTTTGTAGATTGATTGTACTGTTGAAAAGGATACTGTTTCGTGTTTTTGTGGGTTTTTTGTTTTGTTTTTTTGTTTTTTTCTTTTGACTGACAAGCCATGTTGAGCGGTCTGGTCTCTGGCCGCTGCTTTTTTTCCCCCTTTGTAAGTCACTACATAGTATTGCTGCTGTTTGTGTATATTTTTTGTGTATTTGCTAATTTTTATTAACTTCTAGTTTTTCATTAAATAAATATGACTTTCTTTTCTGTAATTCAGGTTTTTCTCTTTTTTTTGTACCTTTTAAAATTAATTACAGGTGTCTTATTTGATATGCATAATTGCTTATGGTAAAAATTATAATTCTGTATATTTGGTAAATTTTGTCTCTTTCCAGTAGTCCATTCATTGGTAATACTGTTCTTAATTGAGCTATTTTGTGAATGTATTAAATGCTAAACTAGTAAGTATGTTGGAAGAAGTACCAGGAAAAAAAAGCTCCTTTAAAAACAGGTCTAGATTTTTTTTTTTTTGGATTTACACTTCCAAACAAAGTAAAGAATTATTAGGGGAACATTTAAAAAAAATGAAAATTCAGGCACAGTTTCAGATTTAGAGAAATGTAGAGACTCAATCTCATCCTTGTATTTATTGTTTTTGCAGTACAAAGAAGGCATTGTCTTATGCAGTATTTGTAACTCTAAAAACAGGCCATTTGCTTAAAGGCAGTATCAGAATAAGATGTTCTTGGTCTTTTATAATTGTCATTAAACGAATACCTGGCAAATTAAAAACTCTTGGTTTTTTCCTTTAGCACAAATTTGGGGAAACTTAATGTTGTTACTCAGTTTCTTGTTTTCTTTGGTTGTGGTTGTTACTAGAGAAAACAAACTTCCTTCCCTCACCCCTGCCCCAATCATACTAAGCTTGTATATCATTTTAGTGACATGGTGTTGGCATACTTCCAAATGACAGTGTACATGCAATTTGCCTATGTTTAAAGGCGTAAATGATCTTCTGGTCCCTGTGCAGGTTGTCTGAAGTCATGGAATTTATTTCACTTTGACTGTGTATTGCTATGTCTGTGTGAAACACGTAGAGAGAACTGATACAGGAAATAATTCTTTTCCATATTATTCAATGTTTCAAACTATTTTAAAAGTATCTTGCTAAATTTAGTAACTGTAAACAGCTGCTCTTGGGAGGAATAGCCTTCATATTGGCTACTTTTTCTAGAAATTTACTGTGTGTTGTCTGTCTTACCAGAAATAGATGCATTAAGGAGCTTTGCTTTTTACTCTAATTATTTTTGGTGCAGTGGCAACATGATGGGGTAAGTAGTTCTGTAAGTAAGGAATATGAATCTGCATTGGCTTCAGACTGACCAGACCAGCACAGAAAGAGTTCACTTTATACAGTGAAAGCAGTCAACTTCAGAAATGCTTTGTGGTGATAAACTGTTTGAGGAAGCATCCCTGAGAAATGTACTGGCATCTTATGCCAGTAGGGGAACTTCAGAGTCTATAATCTACACTCTTATTTCAAGTGAATACTGTGTTATGTAAAATAAGCAGTTGCCTTATTTTAGATAACAGCTGATTGTTGTCAAAGCAGGTACAAGATTGATTGGCAGGTTTAGAATTAAAACCATATTTAAATAATGCCTAACTAATGATACCTTTTCTTTCTAAATCTTGCCAGGGTGTTGCTGATTTGCTGTATAGCTGGAGTTTGGTTTGAATAACAGCCTAGCTAGTGTAATGAATGCTATGTAATTCTAGGAACTTGCCTAAAACTCGTGGTTTTCTAATGTGCTGCTGAAGATTTAATACTTTTCTATAACTGTAGCACTTGAAATACAAGAAAAAAACGTGTTATTTGGAATTTAAGATATTTTTAATTAACATTCTTGCTTGTGCAAAAATAGGAACACACTGGTTCCTAAAGGCACCTGCAATGATCTGATACTGAGAAAGAAGAGACGCTTCTGAGCTGAATGCAACTGGGGAGATAGATTCACTTCGTCTCCATCAGTAGTTACTGAAATATTAAGGAACAATTTTAAAAAGGATTTTTTCGTCGTATTTTACAGGTAATGTATGCTATAGTGTAACTAATACTGTGTGCTGGGTTTTGTTAAAATGTAAGCTAGTACATACTCAGTGTGGTGTAAGAGCCTACATAGTATATTTTCGATGTAATTTATAAGACATAGCAGTGAATCAGATGCAAGGGACGTTTAGACCCAGATTCTCAAAAGTATTTCAACACTTAAATATTTTGAGGATTTGGGCCTAATAAGTGTATGCTTTTGTGATACAGTAAGACTTACTAATGACCTATATTTAAAACAAGTGTACTGTCTGCTATCTAATCTAAAAATAAATGATACATTTAAAATGCTAGAAATGCTTTACTAACACTGATTTTACTTCAGAAGAGCGTATTATTTTGTTATGGTAGAAAAAGTGTACTCATTTACCTCTACTTAAAATAATGGATATACAAAATACTATTTCATTCAATTTTAATTAACTTTGGGGACAAAAGTAGAATCACTTGTCACTTCCCTTTATTTAAATACCTATTTTTGGAGGGGGACTTTTAAAAAAGAAAAGAAATCTCAAGGGAAAAACTTGATCAAATGAGCCAGTATAACATTTAATTGGCTTCTCCCTCTGACATTCTGGTGTGTATTTCTTTATTTAGGATGTCAAGTTCTTGGTCATAATATTCGTTTCAAACCAAATTAAATTTAGATTTTTGCACTGTTCCTTGTGGTAGTACTATATTTGAAGCCATATTTTAAATTTAATGTTATTGAATTGATTTAATATTTGTTGCAACTTTTCAAATCTAGTCTGATTAAAACTGACTGTTAAAGTTATGCCGTTTTTCATGCATAAGTAGACTATCAGATAATGCAGTTCATAAAATGACTTGAAGTTTGAGCAGAAGAAAAAAGCAAGCCTGATTATCTTGTAGTCTTAAGTCTACAGTCAGAGGCAACTGCATTGTGCAATTTCAGGCATGAGTATCTATTTACAACTTGCATTCAAATAACCCACAGTGCAATGAAGTTATGACTTTGAAAGGCCTTTACTATTCAAGTTGAGAATAGGAATCATATGATAGTGGCAAAGAATGAACAGCTGGGTACTAGAGAGCACAGAAAATAAAGTGCAGTGAAAGGTACAGATGGAATCAAGTTAGTTAAATGGGTAACAGCAAAAACTCATTCTTATAGTAAAGAACTGTTCAAAATATTATTATTAAAGCAAGAAATGCAATTTGTCTCCAAGCAAAGCTTTCTAGCTTCCTGCCTGTGTATAGCCAGAAAACAGTATTTACTCATTCCAAGTTCAAAGAAAATGCTTTTGCAGTTGAGTGTTTGCACAGCTAAAGTAATTGTGTGTTTAAATTTCTTGCCTGGCTCTTCTAAACCAAGTTTTGGCAGTTGAATGCATTTGTGCAACAAGTATAATATGTGCGGGACTCAGCACAGCATTTAGGAATTGGAAACAGCCCTTCATGTAGCTGTTCTACACCCTTGCCTTCTAAAGCCGATTTCAGTGGCCATGTTGCTACAGAAACTGATATGCCAGTCACCATACTCAAACTCTTTATAAGCACCTTTTTCATAAAGCAAATAGTTGGGCTGATTACAAAAATGCATTGTCATAAGAAGCCAACACTTTCCCAATTTTAAATGGGTAGTTTCTCAAGTGCCTTCAGGTTTCATACTGCTCTGTGGTCCCAAAAGTTGGCTCCTGCTAAGAGAACAAAAAGGAGCTGAGTCTCAAAGTTAGAGTAAAACTTTTCTATGTCTGCCCCTCTGGTAGCATGGAGAGAACGTGGAGTATGTTGTGTAGTGCAAAACATTCTTAACATCACGGACATTAGAAACTAACTCACTTAAGTATTCCCTGGCCTTTTGACATCTGCCCGCTTTACAAAATGTTATAGGGCACAGACCATTCCTCTGAAGGGATTCCCCAAGTAAATGGAATGATGGGTCTTCATGTTCTGAAGCAAGTATACAGGTAAGGAAAAAATTGTATGTTATATCGGGAAGCATTAGATTGTTTACAGCTGTATTCCAAAACTTTAGGAGGGTTTCTTAATGCAAGACGGGGAAATGGAGGGAATCTGTGGAAATGAATGTCTTAATTTCAGCTTAGTTGCAAGACTACTACTGAATCAAAATCAGCTCACTCTGAACAAAAGAAGGCTGAACAGACTCCCTTCTATCCTGTGCATACATAAATAAGAAAACTACAATGTGCATGCTTCACCTTGCTTGCCAATTATGGAACAGTTACCACCCCATGTAACATCTCTCATATTAGACCACTATTGTAAACCTTTGTAGCCACCAAAAATGTATTTCACAACTAGCCAATAAGAAGTAGCTCTAAAAGTTCATTTTCTTTCTTTAAGGTAAAGTATTTTATTCATCTACTGCCAAACAGTGGAAGACAAGTCAACAGCTTACAAATATCTGCATTACTAAAGGGATAACAAATACTTCCCAACTTACCTTGGATAGGAAAAAAAAATAAGGCACCACATGTGATAGTTGAGATGTGCTACCACTTCCTGGGGCTGGGGATATCAAGCATTAACTTCCACTTTGAACTGCGTATATACTTTTTCTCTATACTTGGATAAATATTCAGAACAACTTACTAATTTCAAAGCTCAAACTCATCTGCTTTGTGAAATCTCTCAAGTACTTCTCTGCCCGAGCAGCGTGGCTTTTGAAAAATGAGAGATGGCAGAAAAACTTAACTCTTGTTGCAATGAGAATAATCTTTCCTTTTTTAATGTTAATTTTTAAGTGATCGATAGTCCCTCAACCTACTTTCTACTAGCATGCTCACCTGGCAAACTCACCTGAAAAACTCTCTACTAGTGCATTAAAATCCCTATTCTGGTGTGGGACCACATGAGGATTAGACAGCCCACATGCTGGTTTCAGGGAGGAAACTTACCTTTTAGGTAATGTTGAGAGGATATTATGAATTTAAAAGTTGTTCTGTATAGTCTGACATGCGCCTACCAGAATAGAAAAAATGTTGGAAACCAGGTACTTTGCTTCCATTCATAGCCATGCTACCTAGGTGGCTTTAATTTACAACTCTGAGATTCTTAGATGAAAACACTCAAGTGATACATTTGAGATTGAACATGTTTCTTATTGGCAGAAAAGGTATGACTTTAACTGTTTATGGTTTTGAATAAACCGCTCTTCTGCTGGCCTGTTGCTAGATTTGGACTTGCTGCCAGCATCTCCTTCCTTCTGACATTGGTTAACTGTTCTTCTTACCCTTTAGCAGCACCTTTATTCTACAGGTGTTCATTAGGTGATTGTAACTTGTGTGTTTTGTGTAATTTCTTTGTATGATTACCATCTATATGAATTTCATATCTATTGGCTTTTCTCCTAAGCTGTTCCACAAATATTTAAACAGTAGTAAATGTTTTTACTGATCTTAATTGGAAGAAACAATACGTTCTTTTTCTGTAGCTAAAATTGTCCATATTACACTTCAGTTATTTTCATGTTGGATATTTTTGTGTTCCATAATATTCAAGAAATCAGCTCTAGATTGCAAGGGTAGTCTAGAAGACCCTAATTAAATGTGCCTTTCAGCTGGTGGGGTGTTTTTATGTATACTCATTAAAGCTGGCTTATTGCTGTAGCTGGTATTGCAACTCCTATGAACAACTGGGGAGTGTTAAATTTTAAGAGTTTTAAATGAAGGAAATCTGAGCAGAGTGAAGGGGACTGATGTTAGCTTTATTTTAATTTTTTCTTTGAAAAATTCTTATTTTGTGACTTAATCTCTAGTTTAGAAATCCTTGCAGAAATGCCTAATAAACTTTCAATTTTTTCTGTAAAATTGTTTTATTCTTCAAGAACAGTTTATGATTGTCCATACCCAAAATAATTGGAAATAGGTTTAATTTAGAAAAGTAAAGTTTAGAAGGCGTCAATATGCAACTGGAGACTTACAGAGAAGTAGGGCAAACCATTCAAGTCTTTTGAAAAATGTCACTATCTACTTGGGTGCACAAGTTGCATATGTTAAATTTATGTGGTAGATGGATACAAATCCACTCTAATACTAGTAGCCCAACTGAAGACTGAGTTGAAGTTCCTGTATATTACTGTTGGCCTCAATTACTGTTCCCATGCTGTGCACCCTTTGTTTTACTGTGATTTAAAAAAAAAACTTGCAATTGGAAAGTTGATCAGCTTCTAAATTTTCATACGCAGGCAATCTGTTTTTAAAGTTTACTATTTAAATGCTCAAGTGCAGTCTTGGCTGAAAATCCCCCATCAAATGCTGCATTAAGAACTTCATCAAGGCAGCTCGCCATAACAAAAGTCAGATCCTGCCGCACATTCACTGCAATCCCTTCCAGATCTTTTTCATTTCTTTGTGGAATGATGATTCTCTTCAATCCAGCTCTATGTGCTGCTAGGACTTTGTCCTTAATTCCCCCAACCTATTAAAAACACAATTGGGAAAAGGAAAGTTATTTAGGTATGTGTTTTTTTCACCAAAGACATGAGGGGCGTTTGGGTTGCTACTTTTAATTTCCTCTAAAGCAGAGGTTCCCAAACTTTCTTATTGCGTACCCCCTTCCATATTTACTAGCTGCCTGCTGGGAACCCCTGATCTAAAGTAAATAAGTACAAAACCTTCCCACTGCCTATATAAATGGCATGTACAATTTTTTATTGGAAAAAATTTTCTGCTCTGGCTTAAGAGCATAACAAGATAAAAGTACTGCAGTTTAAATTATGATGTTCTTTGGCAATAAAGTACAAGAATCTCAAACAAGGGAGAGCTTATTACCTTTGCCAGGTGAGAGCAAAACAATGCTTCTAAAAACTTAAGGTTCATATCAAACTAATGGGACAAGACCTGAAATATTCTTTCCTATGATTCTGATTGATTCCTATGCTGAACTTCCAAAAATTCTCTTTCTGTTTATATATCATTAAGTAGTTGCCTGGTTGATTATTCTGTGACTCATCTGTCAGGACCAGGGTTCCTAAGTTGCAGATGCAGTATAACCTCATAAATCTGCCATGCTCAGCACCAAGCACCTGCTGGAAATTTACAAGTGCCAGACTTTTGGAACCGGTGAGGCAGCTGGTTGCAGAGCAGGGGTGGGGAGCAGTGGCCAGTCTAGGAATGGCAGGGGGAAGTGCTGGATGTTTGATATCTGGATTTATGAGGTTATACTGTATCACTAAAATTCAGAGATCCACCGCCACAAAGCTCACACCTTGACTTCCTTATTTCTTTTCCTAAGAACCCTGGCTCATAAGACCCATGCAAACTTCAAGCACATATGCAGGCAGTAGAATAACCAAATACAGATAAGTAAGTAGAGTTGGTTAGTATTTCTCCAATGTTTGCAGTAATGTTGGTATATAGTGGGTTGTATGGTGTTATTTCCTTAAAAAACAAATCTAGTTTTGTCAGGCCAGCTCAAGTTATTGAGTTAAATGAAAACACTTGGTTTGGGACAAAGTCCGTAACCTCTGTCCTGCTCAGCTGCTATTGTACATCAAGGAGTTGTTTTTAAGGTGCCTTGTGGTCATTCTCCAGGCTCCATGAAGTATTGTGGCATCTAAAATATATACATTATAGGAGGTGGGGGGGGCTAATCCATACAGAAAAGGAAGGACCAGGCAAACCAGCAGACAATTGCATCAAGCCAAAAGTGAAAAAAAACAATTTGGGGATATTAAAACAACAATGGAAAGTTTTATTTTGTTGTCAGAACTTTAAGAACATTTTGATTTTGTCTTTTTCCAAAACGTGAGAATTTTACCTGGCTTTTCTTACGTAACCAAAGTGCTACCTGCTGTTCATTGGTGTAGCTTAATGGAGCAACTTTTATTTATCCCAGGGTGCTGTAGAGCAGATGTTTAAGAAACATATAGAAGAGATTCCCTGGATACAAATCAAACCACTTATTACTCAGGCACTTTTAATTTTAAAAAATTAAGTGACCACAAAGTGGAGCACTCTAGAATCGTAAAATCATGACGTTTAAAAAAGAAAAGGCCCTCCTTTGTTAGAGTAAGGGCAAAGCACAGGATTCATTAGTTCTTTGCTCTGATTTAAAGAATCCTCTTTAACATCAAACAAAGGAGCCCTTGTTCTGTCAGTGCTTGCTACCTACTATAGTACTTGCTCCATATGAGCATCACATGGAAGGAAGCACGGTTTGCAAATTTTAGAAAGGATGGACAAGTGCTTTGTCACAAACTGATTTAATATTGGCCCAGTAAACCATACTGTGCCAAATGTCTCCTGTTCTTCAGTGTTAAAAGGTTCTGGAAGTCGAGCCAGCCTACTGTTACGAATAAATGTTGTGTTACTCCACAAATATGATCCTTGTATCCATCAAAATCCTGCTGCATAGATCCTTCTAGCCTATCACTTTGCCTAGGTCAGTTATTTGCATTAAACATAAGCCCGTGTTCACTTTCAAAACCTAATCTGCACCTTCTGTCATTCAGTATCACATGGTTGACTCCTGCTTCCAACTGGCCCATGATGCTGACCTTAGATTATCTCACACCTTCACATTGCTTCATGTGAGAGGGAAAGGGTCAAAGGTCCTCCTAAGCCTAGAAGCCTGTACAGCACAAAGGAGCAATAGGACCAGCATTATACCCAGCCAGAGACATAACTAGCCCTGGACAAAACCCTGTTCTGTGTGAGAGTCCATGCACGTGACAAAGATGGTGTGTGGGGGAGGAGGGGTTAGTCTTACCTGCCCTGCAGGATTCAAAGCCCCCAGGGGCTGTTGCTGCAAGTACAGCAGCATTGTGGAGTTCCTACATCCAGCTGCTATTGCTATAGCTGCAGCACCATGGACTCCTGAGGAACTGCCGTTCTAGTATCCCTGGATCCAGCAACTTTTGGACTTCCAGCACAGCTAACAGGTTTGCATTAATACAGAGCAAGATCTGAACACATTCGTCATATATATTTTATATAATACATATATTATCTCCTCTACATAATGCAATGCTTTAACCACTTAAAGTGGTTTTGAGCAGTTCCCTGGAAAATGTCTAAAGATCTCATTACCCTGAAATTGCTATGACACCTACAAAAACTGACAATGGGTTAGGCTACAATAATAGCACTGAGCAGCAGCTTCTCATTTTTTGGGGGAGCAAGGACTGTAATTGTTCTGTTTACACTTTACCTAGTGTATGACTAGGGCTCCTAGACACCTATAGTAATACATAATTAATGTTTTTGAACTGTACTTAGTCCAATGACTTAAGGAGGTTTCTGTAGTTGTAAATATCACTCAGTTTCATAAAGGACTGAACTGTCTCTAAACATCCTTGTAGTTGATTAAAGCCAGATTCTTTCTACACTGTGATCAGCAGTAGTAAAAGGCAGAAATGCATCAAAGCAGAACTTTTATAGTGGCTTACATCACAACTATGATGCCAAAAAATGTGCATGTGGTAACCACAGTAAGCATTTTTGGCATAATAGTTTACCTAGCACACTAGGGCTAATTAGTAAATGTAAACTGATATTTTGAATTTAGGAGTTATTGGAAAATAAATCAGATTTATTTTTCACCACTACGTTCAGCTTACTTCCCCACTGAAATCATCTATACAAGGGATACTATTAACAAATGTAAATCAGCTTAAGTCATGGAACAGTAACAGTGTACACTTTGATGTTAACTAGGTGTTGGTTTCCATGAAACCGTGTCAATTCTACTGCAAGACAATGGAGGATCCACCTAAGATGGAACTAGGTTACCAGAGCTACACCTAGATAAATTAGTTCATCATGGATAATATAAAGGAAAATATCTTTAGACAGGTTAGCACTTTTCCAAATGATACTTACTGGAAGAACAAGGCCTCTTAGTGTAATTTCTCCAGTCATGGCTACGTCTGAACGCACCAACCGCCCACTGAAGAGTGAGGCAAGACAGGTTACTATGGTTACACCAGCAGATGGTCCATCTTTTGTGACAGCTCCAGCTGGGAAGTGCAGATGGATGTCGGTGTTGTCAAGGAGATCAAAACTTCCAGAAGCTTAGAGGAGAGAATGTGGAAAATTCAAACCTGTGTTGTTCCTGGGCTTTGTTCTAAAAAGACCACTAGAAAACGCATTCCTACCAAATACATTACTTGACAGTATATTAATACACACCACATGGATCTTAGAAAAAACTAATGTTTGTTAGGCCCACAGTTTGCTATCTACACAATACAAATCATTGTGAATAAGTTAACATTGAAGACATTTACTTTTTTTAAAGAGCTCAAGCATTCAAAGTTGGGATTAAGAAAACAATCAGAAGTAGGGAGATGACAACCACTATCCTTCAAGAACAGACCAAAATCCCAAAGAACACGTGCATATTTGCCTACAAACTAAGCTTACCCTTTAGTATGTGAGAACTTTCATTTTTAGCTTGCCCAGCTGGGTTATTCATGGGTAACAAGGTATTTCTGCAGCAAGCATAGTTCAGCAGTAAAACCCACACGTATTTAAAGGCAGCCATGTAGTCTATACCTATATAGCATAAGGTTTTGAACTGTTTATTTTTCCATAGGAAACTGAAATAATGTAAAGGCCTCAGGGTCTTATTTTATATCTCAAATATTACAGAACTGGGCTAGCAATGGAGAAGAAAAGAGTGAAAATGAACTAGTGGCAAAAGCACTTTGTAGCACAGTCAATGCAGGTTCTGAACCCCACATACCATTCACACAGTAAAATCTATAACCTGGGTCTAAAAATGCTTTTCAGTCCCGTTTAGTTCACCCAGATTGAAGTATTAGGGTCTGGGCTCTGAGTTTAACTTGGGCTGGGAATCTTTCCACTTTGCAGTGAGGCTTCATGTAAAACAAACGTTTGAGTATCCTTTTCTAGTTCCACCTCAAAAGCAGGCAGAGACTCCTACAAAACTGACAGGGAAAGAACCAGTGTCTCAAACAAGAAACATGGGATATGCCCCCAGAAACAAGCTGAATACAGGAACAGTGAGAATGCAATGGGTAGAGGAGCTGTGCTGTGGGAACTTCTACCTTCAACCTTGACTAAGGCTGGAGTTCAGGTCCAGATGCCAATTACTTTGATTTAGTATGCAGTACAGACACTTTCAGGGATGAAGAGAAAAGTGGAAAGCATACCATTTTAAACCCTATAGATATTTTACAAACTAAGGCCACCAACAGAACACGGAACTGAAGCCTCAGCTGTGGCCAGAGCTCAGCAGAAATTAGGACAGAAAGAAGCACAAATGAAATATTACTCAGCTGCTGGTTTACTGCTTTCATCTTTGGCTTTAGTGGGGAGCAGCCCTTTTTCCTTTTAGGCAAATATAGTTCTGTTTCCTAAATAACTGCTTAACAGAAAGGCAAAATACCTTTTCATGTTAAATATTCATTATTAAAAACCCAACAACATATTTCCGAGGCATCAGGGAAACACACAAGTACTGCATAGGAATTAAAACCAATGACTTATATGCATCTCTGCAGCGAGTGGTCACTGATAGGTATCCATCTCTATGTTGTCTTAGGTCTATACCAACATTCTTGTCTCGCGTTTTTCACATACCATTAGTTAGCTGGTATTTCTTCGCATTGCTGCGCAGCCAGCTAATTGCAAGATGTGCTGATTCCTTCATGACATCCCCCAGCTGTCCAGTTAAAGTAAGCTGACCATCGCCATCCATGCGGCTTGCTTCTACAAACATGATCTCACCGCCTAAGGGTGTCCAAGCCAAGCCTATGGCTACTCCCGGTTGACTTAAACGTTCAGACACCTTTAAAAAAAAAAAAAAGAGCTTAGGCTAGAACAAGATTTTCAAGATAGAAAACTAGTGAGATTGTTATGAGTTTAAAAGCTCCTAATTAGCATCCATAATGCTAAAATTCTCTGTGCTCTTCTGAAGGCATCTATAACCCCTTTGGCCTGAGTCCTAGAGAAAGCTTCCAGTCTTCTGTTTAATTCCATCCTGCAATAATTCTCCAAAATGTGAAAAATCCAGCAATAGAGCCTAGTAATAATGGCAGTTCTGGCCTATGGCATATAAATGGACATGTCTACAAAGGTCAATACAAGTCTATCCTTTGACATCAATAAACTGACTCAACGGCAAATGCATTTCTTCAAATATTAGTTCCAGGTTAGAAATGAGCTCCCTGACATTTTTCATACGCCTCAGGTACATCTGACCTGGCCATTCTGGCAAAAGAGTTTTGTTAGAACTGAATTTTAAGCTTGAATATTATCCAAAAGCCAATTTCAAAATATTCAAAAGGGAATACCAGCAATTTGTGTTATGTTACATGACAGGAAAAGTATCAATATACATGCAACTAACCACAGCACAAATGTTACTCACAGCAGACCTCTGTAAATTCCAAACAGTGAACACATCTAAGAATATTACAATGTTAGAATATTAGACTGTGTAACCAGAGAAAGTACAAAATTTGTCACAAATTTTTCATTACAAATGGTTTGCCCAGCGATTTTACTGAACAAGGCCCTGCCCTTCAGGAACTACTAAATGCCTGTGGCCTACTTATCTGAAAGGCTGCCTGTCTCCCTTTGTCACCCAGCCACTGCAGATACCCGAATTAAAATCACACGCGAGAGAGGGAAGAAGACGATCTCTTGTGAGGCACCTCTGGTATGGAATGGTACACCCAGTCTAAAAGGCTTCTGTTTATTGAACCTGACATGACAGGTTTTCCTGTCCAGAGCTCATTTGTTTTCCTGACCTGAGAGAGGCCCAAAGGACCCTTCTGGGAGATTGTTTTCAATTACTGGGATGTGCATTTATTACTGGCCAGAAAGTAGATATGGGGATAGTCTCTTTGTGATTTTGTTCTGTATCATGCAGTACCTGCAGCAAAAGAACACGGGGGCTCTTTTGTATAGACTGTGTATAAATTTAAAGAAATAAAAAATAAATAAAGGAGGCATACAATTTTCCTTTCCATGTTAATATACCTCCTCTCTCCAACTCCTTCTGTATTGCCACCAAATACTTAGGGTGACAGCTGTCTCAGCTCCAAGAGATCTCAATCTATACTGCACACCTTTGTGTAAGAAACAGTTTTCAGAGGTTTGCTCTCCTCTTAGGGTTACCACTTTAAAACAAATTGTGGAAATTATAAAGCCCCATGTAGAACAAGCTCTAAGTGTGTCAGACGGATGTCTGTACCAAATTATGAATGCAGTATTCTGTGACTTCCAGTCTGGGTGTTAAGTGCTGTTCATATTCCTTGTAGAACACACCTGGCCAGTCCAGACAAAGCCCTATTCAGAAGCAGCAAGACACACCTCTCAGAGAAGACTTGAAATGACACGGTTTCAACTTTAACCACCTCAGCCAGCCCGTAGGAACCAGCCTGCCTGTGAAAAGTGACTGAGGTTCCACATCTTCAGTCACAAAACCCATGGAGTCAAAGGCTTTGATTTTGTGTGAAAATAGCTTTGCTTGCTGAGAACATCTGCCACCGCATGCCAAAGACCAGGCTGGAGAGTGTCTTAGAAATCTAAACGTAGGAACAAGTCATCTGGCTCTGCCCTGACCATTAAGTATTCCAGTCTTTTCCATCAAAATGCCCCAATAGCTGTTAAAATACGCTCAGGCGTTTCACAGCCATACATAGGCCTTGCTTTCTGCAACAAAACACAAGAGCATGGACTACTTGGATCTCTAAGGATCATGCAGTTGCATCATTACAGTTTGTATCAGGTTTAGTTGGTGTTAATACAGTTCTTATGTATTAAAATCTTAAATCTTGTGATTAAAAATCCAGGATTTTTAACCAGTTTAAGTAAGATGAAACGGTTGTTATGCTGCTTATTTCACAAAGCAGGACTCCTCCTATGGAGGCAAAACTGACAATTCAGCATTCAGGCTGGACTCCACCGCCTCATAAAAATACAATTAGATTTGAAAATAAAACAATTTCTTGATGTTCAGCTTTCCAAGCCCCCTTTCCAATTTCAAAAGTGCAAAGCAACTTTTGTAAGTGAGCAAGTGTTCACTCTACAACCGATGCCACTAGCTACTGCCAAAAGGATACGTACAATGAAAAGCTGGTTCAGTTTCCAATGCAGTCGCAGCCAGCTCAAAGGTATGACACAAGCTCTCTTCCACATGAGCAAGAATAAGAGTTAGTTTCATAGTTGGTAGGGTCGGAAGTGACCTGAGGAGATCATCTAGTCTGACCCCCTGCCGTGGCAGGAAAGAGCACTGGGGTCAAACGACCCCGGCCAGATGTTCGTCCAGCCTTTTTTTAAAGACCCCCAGGGTAGGAGCCAGCACCACTTCTTTTGGAAGTTGGTTCCAAGTCCTAGCTGCCCTGACAGTGAAATAGTGCTTCATAATGTCTAGCCTGAAACTACCGTCCACTAGCTTGTGTCCGTTGTTTCTTGTAACTCCCGGGAGCGCTCAGGGGAACAGGGACTCTCCCAATGCCTGCTGGTCCCCCTTGACTAGTTTGTAGACTGCCACTAGATCCCCTCTCAGCCTTCTCTTTTGGAGGCTGAACAGGTTCAGGTCCCTTAGCCTCTCCTCGTAGGGCCTGGCCTGCTGCTCCCTGATCATGCGGGTGGCCCTCCTTTGGACCCTCTCCAGTGTATGTTATGTTAGTGTAACATACATTTGGGTACTTGATTGCCTTACGCAAGCAAACTTAAATGCTAATGCTCCTTTGCAGGGTGCTGTTCTTTCTGGTTTTGTGATGTTTTGTCTGATGCTGCCAGGTGCTCTAGACGGCAGTAGAGTGGATTAAAAGACAACTCTACTACTTGAGACTGGCTCCTGCACTACATCCTGCTTACATCTCCTGAACAGGAGGTAAACTGGCAGGATGCAAGGGCATAGCACAGCGTTTCCCAAACTTCTGGGGTTTACACTCTACCATAGCAGAGCCAGCCACTCTTGCACCCCCTGCTTCAATGGTTTGATGCTTCTGTGCATACACAGCATTTGCACATTCAAGCAGTGCTCTTAGCTGCACCACCCCCTTAGGCACCTTCTTCACCCCCACATGGTGGCACACCGAGCTTGGGAAATGCTGACTCAGTATCTTTGGACTGAGGGGAGATGTTATGCTGTTTGCATTTAGGTCAAATGGCTTAAATAAGAATAGTTGCTTCTTTTCTTAGAATGTGGTTTGTACATAAGAAACTTGATTTCCCTTATTTGGCATTCTTAAAAGGAACCAGGAGAACAGATTCTGCTGGAAACTCTTCAGGATGGAAGTCTAATGGAAGCCTTTCAATCCTTGAAATTCTTCAGCTACAATACTCTACTACTCTTCAGTTGGTACGAGGATACTCAACTTCAAACGTATTTCTTTCCACAGCAGGAAGGCAACTCAACTAATAAACAACCAAGGATCGTTTGATCTCTGCATGGCCTGAAGTACTTAAGAACTTTCCAACATTTAATTTCTCTTGCTCTGGATACAGACCAGCTGTGTGACACACATGCCTTTGACCAGCTCAGTCATGCCTTTAAGCATCTCAAGCAGAATCTTGCACAATGAAGCAAGAGTACTTCTCCCCACCTGCCTTCTCTTTACAGCAGTAGGGGGCCAAACTTTTCTGCAGGCATGCCACAAATCAAGCCTGTATCCTCTCCAAGTGCAACTCTGTTCCCTCCCTGACCTGCCACATGCCACACAGGCTGCCCATGTCACTTGCAGGTGAACCAGCCCTGTCCTAAAGAAGGGTGCATGCTGCTGGGACTAGGAAAACAAGGACTTCTGTTCTCAGTGGTTCTACTTGCTGGCACTGACACTACATATACTTCATAACCCTCATTCCTGAGCAAAGCCTCGTACCCTATCCTCACACTGGGATAAGCATCTTCCGAGTTTACAAACAAGGTAACAAATTGCATTACATGAATTTAGGTAGATCTGGGAATAGAAACCATGTCTCCAACAACAGACACCCCAAGTGACACCTACTTTTCACCCACCATCCTTTGGCAGAAACCAGCCACTGACTATGGAAGGTAAACTACCTGCACTATATTCCTGAAGGAGGGTCCTATCCAGATCTGGATAAGGTCCATTGGCAGAACAGTGGGAGTAGGAAGCTAAATCCACACAATTTTAAGCTGAATTTGATTTTGGTTATTACATTTTTGGTAAAAATGTCTCACACAGCTACACAAAGCTTGGTTGCTTTGTGGATAAAGACTTCGGCCATTTCACAATTGCTCCTTTTCCTCACACAATGGCAAAGGAATTCAAATGAGGATACAGGTACACTTTCAAAAATAACCAAAATTAACTAGTCTCCAAAATCAGCTGATGGCAAATCTGTTCAGAAGTGGCTGGGCCTCCTCTGGTATTTCAGGTGGAGAAGAGAGAGGAAATCCAGCTGCATAAATCAACTACTTCTTCAAGGTAACTATCCCAGGCAGAGACGAGACCAACCTGTGTTCTAAGCCGCTTGGGCATAACCGGGTTAACAGCCATTACCATATTTGTTTTGGGTGTGTAGGCAGGGTGAACAATTAAAGGTCTTAACATTTAGATGGAAGATTTTTTTTTTTCCTTTTTTGACTGTCTGCAGAGTTAAAGGAGAAGAAACATTAGCAGACTGCCCACAGTTTCAAATGTGAAAAAGAAAAGAAATGAGGTGGGGAAAGCACAGGAGCCAAAATCTAACCTCATTTAATAGACTGCTGCCTTCCAGCAAGAGTGGGAGTGAAGACTGGGTGTGGGTTCAAGAAAATTAAGCTCTGTCCTTTTGCATTAAGCAGAAGTATGGAAACCCCTCGAG